GTTAATAATAAATTCGTTAAAGTTTTACGAAATTTGAAATAGATAATAAAGCAAATTAGAAATTCAAAATTCGGGCTTCCCAGTGTTACTTGTTCGGTTGGAGGACTACGTTATTCATAATTTGAGGACTCTAGGTACTTATTTATTTAATTGTTTATTTCTGATTCAATCTTGAAACTAACTTATGAACTCAGTTTGCTTGAAATTTACCATACATACATAATCGCAACGACAATACAGTATACTACCGGCATGTTTACAAAATTCGATACACATATGTTGTACTTAGTGTTAAATTTTATCAATAATCTTTGCATTATGATCCAACAAAGTATCGCAGAGTTGCGTTCTTCACTTTATCGGATAAAATTAGACGAATTTCTCCAAATAAATGCTGCATAGAAGATCTGACGTAAAACCAAAAGTAAGTTTGTCCCGAGAAGGCGTTAGAGTCACGTGTTTTCAGACGATTCCATTCTTCAAATACAGGGAGAGGTCATGTTTCGATGGCAACGTAACTTTAGCATTGTTGTCCTGTTTCTGGTTAAATATGATCATATCTGTTTGTATAGGTGGCAAAAAGGTGGTCCGGCGAGTCAAAAGAATCGCTTAGCAAAAACGTACTGTCCAGAAGCGTCGTCTGCTTTTACCATTCGTAACCGGATAGCCCCTATTTAAAAATGAATGGCTTCGAGGTCATATGCCAGTATATCGCAGACAGCCTAACTTCTTTGACCAGACTAGCCAACGGTGGCAGAGCGGTAAAGTCTCTGGACATTGGTAGTTCGGTGAACGGACTGGATGCATGGGTGTTTTCATGGTTTTCCTCCTGATTAAAGTGTATACGAGACATTTGCTGCCTATGCGGTATAGTGGTTAGCGTCGTTGACTGCCGTGTCGAAGGGCACGGGTTCGAATCCCGCAGAAGACACGGATGTTGGTAAATGTATAGTGTCGGTTCGGTATAGCGGCTTTCTATATACGCGTTGAGCCGAAAGGCCTCTTATGTGGTTTGGTGGAAGGGAAGAGGGGTGGGCAATCTTCGGTGCTCTTCATCTAAATTGGGGGCGGAAATGAGCTAAATTGCACTTGCTCAAGGCTCTTGCTCGTATCATGACCGCTCCTTGCCACGAGAATTTTCTTGGGCTTGGGTTGATGTTACTGTCAGAAAAGTGAGCATAAGTAGCAACAACAACGAGACAAAACAGGTAACAGAATCTACACCAGGTAGAACGTACCAATCTCACATGTGAAGCAGCTGACCAGTGCATCAAATGCAACAATTCATCAAAGTACATGTTAAAAGTAGAGCACCCCATGGACCGCTAAACTCTGAACATTGAACTTGGATTAAATGGAACATTACCTACCTAATTACCTCAGTACAACATTCAATACATAATTCAAATATATCACCCTAGGTATCATAAAGCATATGCTATGTCAAAACCAACAAGATCTATAATGAACATAACCTCTTACATTGTAAATAATCTGTAATAGTATGATAATGCTGTGTCTTATGAACATAACTTTATGCGTTCTAAATAATCCGTAATAGTATGATAATGCTATGTCCTATGTGTTGAAATATGTTGTAATAGTATGTTTCGCTATGTCCTATACGTTGTTAGTGATATGTCCTATGTTTACTGTAATCAGGTCACCTGTGGAAGAGGCGGTGCCAAAACCAACAAGCTCTATAATGAACATAACTTCTTGCATTGTAAATAATCTGTAACAAATATGTTAATGCTATGTCCTATGTGTCGAAGTATGTTGTAACAGTAAGATGTGCTATGTCTTATTTGTTGTTAGTACTATGCCCTGTGTATACCATAATCAAATCGCCTATGGAAGGGGCGGTACACTAGAGAGGTAGTGCATGGGGGCTATACGATTTTTGTCAAGTGCGATGGCGTGGTGCTCCCTGTACTTGTTCCTGTCCTGTCCTTTACAGATTCCACCACGAAGCCATTCCTCCCCTTAGGGAGATAGCCCTCTCGAGTGCTTAAATAAATCACACCAAACCTTCACTGAAGTGCCTCTCTTATTCAAATACTGATGTATGTCTAAAGCAGGGATGGGCAAACTACGGCCCGCTGGAAAGTTCTATACTGCCCACGGATAGAATTTTAATTTGCCGGTCTTAGGCAAATTAAAAGAATTAATATTTATATATTATATATCCATCTCCTTTTCTAACTTTCTTAAACTTTCGGTTAAATATTATTTTTTTCTTCCTTCTTTCAAAAGAACTCATGATCTTTGTAGTTTAATAAATAATTTTAAAGTGAGCATAGCCTTCGTCTGGCTTTTAAATGTACCGGGAAAATGTCTGAAGGGAATACCATACGTTAAATTAAAAACCTGCGCAGAATTTTACTCCGCCGCAAAAAAAAAAAAAAAAAAAAAAAAAAAAAAAAAAAAAAAATTTTAAAAATGTATTACATATAACAAAATTACAATGAAATAAGCAATATCCTTTAATACAAATATTAGTTATCCTAATAAATAAATTAACCACCTTCCCGTCGCTTTCTCTAGACAAACGTCCAGTATCCAAGAGAAACATTCAATTTAAAAACTGCACAGAATGATCGCCCTCATTGTTCCAAGTGGCAGTACTGATTTTCAACAGTATACAATTGAATACTCCAGTATACAATTGAATGAAATACTGTTGCCCAAATCACATTTCTAAATAAATGAAACTATTCAAAATCATGCGATAAAATCAAAAAGATAAAATTAAAAAAATCTGATTCGAATTTTGAAAAAATCGCTTCGAGGTGCACTGGCCCTTATTTAGATGCACCTATATACCAAATTTCGTAGCACTGGGTGTATTAGCTTACGCGCAGCACGAACGAAAGACACACAAACTCTTTCTTCTTTCTTTAATTATACGTAGCATCTCTACTGTATATGTAGAATCTGTTATTGTTGTTACTTATCTGTGCGAGTCTGTCTGTTTGTTTGTTGGTTCGCTTGTAACATCATTCCCTCCGAATCGGCGGGAATTTGAGTTTCGACAGAGGCCGTTCCCCTCCCGGTTTCCAAAAATTCTTGGAAAGCCATTTTCACTATTCTCATCTTTCTACTTTTAATAAGCCGAGATAGTAATTAAAAACTTTAATAGAAAATTTAACGCTAAATTAAGGCTAATTTAACGCTTTTTAAAAAACGCTAAATTTTCGCACTCCTGCAAGATGCTATTTTTCGCTGCTTGGTGTGATGCGTCGAAGCTAGTACAAGATGGAATTTTAAAATTGCCTTCCGCCCAGACGGGAAAGTGGTTAATGCCTCTGACTCCTGTGCAGAAGGACATGGGCTCGAATCCCGGAGAAGATATGGATGTCATGTGTAGGAGGCAACGATGGCCCACATGTTAGGTATCTCCATAATAAAGAGACCGCCGCTTCTGGTCTTAATAGTAGTGGTCAATGCCTCTTAACGACTACAGTCCGCCGTTGGGACCAAAAAAAAAATTGCATCTATCTTCTCTAATTAGAGCTGGAGAAAAATTATCGATGGAATCACGTGTCACGTTTATTTCTCCGTTACTTGATAAATCGCTCAATAAAACAATGTAACACTGGAGTGTCTTAAACATTGAAACGATAGTTGTAAGAAAATTTAAAATATAAAAATGTAACATGTAAATATAAGTTTTCAAGCAACAGTAATAGAAATAGGTAACATCAAACAAGTATTTAAAAAATATTAGAATAAAACATTAAATATTTCACGAAAATCCAAAAGATAATGTTCCGAGGAAAAAGTGTTAGCTTTAAGAAGCTTTCAAGTTCTAAAATTGGCAAGGGGCATAGAAAGCTAAATACAATTATAAATTATAAAAATATGCATATGTATGTATAAAAAACACTAAAATCTCCTATTGTAAGGATAAACCTTTTGTATATGTGATTACGGCAAAACCCCTAGGGCTACATGCCTAAGGGGAGGGATGCTGTGAAGTTCCTTCCCCTGATGAAAGACGAAGAACGGAAGTGACTTACCCCGGAAAAACCGGTCGAGCCAGGCTGGTGGGGAAAGAAAGACTGGACAGAGAGGGTACTGGAAGTTGGACCGGCGAGCATGCCGTGTGAGAACGTAGAGAAAAGAAATATGTTTTAATTTCTTTTGCGCGCCTTGTATATATATATTGTATATAGTTTATTTTGCAGTGTATTCGTTGTATGGTGTATCAATAGTGCAGTCTGTGTAATAAATTAGTGAAGAAAATGTCAAAGCGGACAAGTGTTATTTTCCCACTATGGTAAGTTTACACAGAAGAACCCACCTTGTGTTTGAACGAGCGCGAGGCTTGACAGATGCTTTCGTAGAAAACATTTTAAGGGAAACTGGCTGGTAAATATGTAACAGAGGAACACGGAAAGCAAGTCGCGGGTCGAACGGACAGACCGCGCTACTTACGCGGCCGTTGAAAACGAACAAGTAAGGCCAAATAGTTGGATATAAAATTGTGTGTATTAGCACATGTTGTAGTAACAACCAGCCAAAATTCTCGTGCGTGAGCGTAAGATACGTACACTGCAATAACAAAGTATTATTGACATTCCACACTGCATTCCTGTCGTTGGCCTTGAGTACCTTACAGGTGAGAGTGCGATTTAGCTGAGTTCCACCCACAATTTTGATGGAGAGCAAACCCCCCGGGGGGAATGGAGGGTCTCCTACCCATCTCCACTTCCACCAAACCACACTAGGAAGCTCCACGAGCTCGTGTGCACACGATAGTTTTTGGCTCACCGTATACTTGGAGTTCCACCATACCGCACTACACATTTGCAAACATCCATGCCTTCTTCGGGATTCGAACCCGGGGCCTTCGTCACCGCAGTCAGCCACGCTAACCACTATACCGGTTTTGGCAGCGTATAGAACTTATCTCATTCATATTAAAAATTTCTTTTCCAGGTGTGTATAAAACTGCTTTCGTTCATATTGAAATATTTTTATATTTTCTTTTTCAGGCGTAGAACTCTTTGGATGCAGCCCGCTGTTGGAAACTCGGCAATCAGTTAATATGAAGTATTATGTCTGAAGATCCAGGAAAATATCTTTTTTGTACGTATTTTTGTTTCGATCTTCACTTTCTTTTAAAGTGTCATGATTTTATGTTACAAAAGTTCAGAGAAATGCTAATATAAATATTTCGTACTCTTCGGTTATCAGCACCAGATTCAGAAATGTGTATGAAATGAATATATGCATGTATGTATGGATGTATGTGTTCGTATATGCATATGTATATGTGTACCTATGTATGAGTATGTGTACGTTATACATGCATACATACGGACATTTCCGAATCCGGTTGCGACAACAGAAGAGTATCAAGTACTTTTACTACGAATTAAAAGAAAATGGTGAGAGACAATTTTTTTTAACTTTCATTTTTCCTCTTTATTTATTAGCGTTACATTATTTTATACCGTTTTATTAATGAGCACTTTTGAATGTTAAATTTTGAAATAGGCTAATTATATTTAACAAAGCAACATTTTATAATTTAGAGCAAAGTTTTTAATTTATGGTTTTCGACTGAATCGAGTTTTTAAATATCACGAAAGTTATTTACTGTATTAAGCATTATTGACAGGCCCATCAGCGGCCATGTGTAACGTTAAAAACGGGCCAGTTCCTCTTAGAATGTCCTCCATGAAAGCATCGCTCCCTTTCGTATAGTGCCTTAGTGCGGAGCAGGTAAATTATAACAAAGCATTATTTTCCACACTGCTTCTTTTCTTTTCTTACTAGCGTTCTATTACATCTTAGATATATCTATTAAGCAAACACAATTTTAAATTGTTTTTTGAACTTTGATTATAAATTAAATTACTAAGCAATTTTTTAATATCCTAAAGTAAGTAAGTTAGTTCTTCAAATAACTGCTGAAAAGAATTAGATTCTAGAATATTATAAATTGATGATGTCTGCCTTTCGGTTTAGTTTATTATGGCTAAGAGCACTAAGGGGCCTAACTGGAGGGATGTCTTCGTGAACAGTTTCTAAGGGAAACTGCCTCGTATACATGTTACAAATGAAGAAAACCACGAAAACGCCCATGCAAATGCGCGTAATTCTTTTAGTTTCATTCATAATATATCGCTATCTATGAATGTTTTGTATTTTTTATTTTGTCCTTTGAGAATAGAAATAATTAACAGAAAAGGATTTTATTGATTTTATTTAAACTGTGCCATTTCTAAGCCCTGTAATTTGGTCTCTACAATCGAAGAATTCTTTTAATGAGAGTTTTTTGATATATTATTTTGACATTGTTTTCTTTTGATACAACTAACTTTAGTATAGTGCCATTCTGTAGTAAAATTACTACAAAATCGTTTCTGGATATAAGGTGACCGCATTACAACCCTACCATAATAAAGTGTTTTTTTTTTTTCATCGCCTTTTTTACAACGGTAGCCTGCTTCATCATGTTCTTTTTTTTTTTTTTTTTTTTTTCCTCCCGGGCGTCCAACAAGATATGTGTGTTTTAGCAAACGAACTTGGTGTGAATGTTACGGAACAAATGACAATAGTTAATATTAAAGATGCCATTTTAACGAGTAAGGGATATAATGAAGAGTTCACTAAAGATTTATTTTTTCGCGTTATTGAGGAACGAAAAGAAATAGAGGAACGTGAATTTAACGAAAGAAAACAGCGTGAGGAACGCGAGCAAGTTCACCTGGATTCGAACCTAGGTCGGAATGACCAATGTTCAGCGACTTTACCGCTCGATCGCTGTTGATGACGACTATTGAATTTGGTTCTAGAACTTAAAAGAAATGTAAAATTTCTCCCAGGAATTAAAAATCCGGTAAATTCTTGTTCAGAAAGTTTTCCCGACTTTGTAACTTCATAAAATTATGCAAATGATTTAGTTTTCGTGTATGTTTAAATAAAACTGAGTTGAAAAATCATCAAGTATGATAAAAATCACAAGAAAACTCGTACAAGTAAGCAACCCCACCTTGAAGATGGCCTCCTTAAGCTCAACTATTCAGTTTTCATTGAGGTATTTCCTCCTTGGTTCACATAGCACGACACAAAAACAAATTAAAGCAATAAAATTCCCTTCATTAAATGCAACGTAATACCGGAAAATTTCTTTAAACCGTCACCGTGTATAATGTATACGTGGCGCACGTGGTGTACACCGCAACGTGTACTTCCTTATCATCCACTTTTGTTGTTGTTGATTTTGTTACTTATGCTCACTTATCTGATAATAACAACAGCTCAAGACCATGAAATTCCTCGTGGCAAGGAGCGCAAGATACGCTTGTCGTTGGCAACAGCCTTGAGCATCCTACAGGTGAAATTTTGATGAAGAGCACCCCGAGGGGGGACGGATCCGAGGGTCTTCTATCCCTCTCCCCTTTCACCAAACCACACGACATGTCGTACCGACACTATATATTTACAATCATCCATGCCTTCTCCGGGATTTGAACCCGGGCCCTTCGTCACGGCAGTCAGCGACGCTAACCACTATACCGGCTGGGCCGCATCGTGTACTTTTAATAAGACCTAATAGCTATACTTGCCAGACGCCCCGGCTTGACACGGTCAGTTCTGGTTTTCAGACAAAATCCCGGTGTCCCGGTCGGTTTACTTCACGTCCCGGTAAAAATTAAATTTCATTTTAGAGATGACCAAGAAAGTCTAAAAATAATTAATTATGAAGGATTATTTAGGATAATTACTTTGCCATTTATTTTTCTCTACTGTATCAAAAGTGAAAAACCATAGAAGATGAATGGTCTACTAATAAATATCACTTCCTATAGTGAAGACTACAGAAGAGTAATTGTCTCGTTATTATGCGCGATGCGAGAAGCTGTCCGGGCGAGTCCAATATTGGTCACTATGGCAACATTCGGCGAGTAATCCAATACTGAGCGAGTCCAATATTGGTCACTAAGGCAACGGGCGAGTCCAGTCACTAAGGCAACGTTGGGCGAGTCCAATATTGGTCACTAAGGCAACGTTGGGCGAGTCCAATATTGGTCACTAAGGCAACGTTGGGCGAGTCCAATATTGGTCACTAAGGCAACATTGGGCGAGTTCAATATTGGGCACATCGTAGCTAAAGCGCCAGAAGAGATTTCCCTCCACGCTACACCGCTTCGTGTGCAATAACATTGGACTCGCCCTTTGGACTCACCACTAGCCGCTTGCGATAGAGACAAAGAATAAGGGGATTCCCAATTCAAATTCTTGATAGAGATAAGGTAATTCAGTCAGTTGTCAGTTCCTGTCAGCGGTGCCTGTTGTGTTAGTGAACTAGCGCTGTTTTATTTATGTTTTAAGTTAAAGTTTATATGTTCTCTATTAAAATGCCAAAACGGTCGTGTAAATTCACTGAGGATTTACAGAATGAATTAATTCCCTTTTTCGAAGAAGGTGTATTGCACGGGCACTGGTAATCAAGATGAAGATCACAGAGCTATATGTTCACAATGCAATTCTGAGTTTTCGGTTGCCCACGGTGATACAGCCGATATAAAAGACCATTTGCAGTCGAGTAAACACAAAAAGAGTTAGGCATGCGCTGTTGGCTCATCAAAACCTGACCAGTTTTTTTTTTTTTTTTTTTAAGACTACGAGTTGCAATGATAAAACCTTAGCAGAGAAACAGGCGACCGTTGCTTACCACGCAGCAAACCATAGCCTAAGATTTAATTCGAATTCTTGTCCATCAAAACTAATGTCTTAGTTTTTTTAACCTAAACTTTTCACTCGGAAAAACTAATTGTGAGGCAATAGTTTTAAGTGTCATTAAGTCTTTTAACTCAAGATACAGTACCGTGAACTCATTCAACACGGGAATACTCGGTTTCTCTCAGTGATGTCCGCTCTTGAAAGAATTTTACAGATTTTTGAAGGTTTGAAAGCGTTTTCTTAAGACCAAGAAATGTGCCCATGAGCAATAAAAAAACTTGTTTACTGCTTTAACGGGCGAGCTCTACTTGTGGTTTGTCCACGGACAGATTGCACTGTTTAACAAGGCCATCCTGTTAATGGAAAAAGATAACACTACAGCGTTTGAGATTGCTGAAGCTCTCAAAAGAAATCTGATTCAACGACCCGCCCCCAATGGCTGACCCCTCAGCCGGCTTCGGCTTGACCAGAAATAAGAGTCATTTTATTATAGAGGCAACCTAATAGGTGTACCACCTTTGCCTCCTATGAAGGGACGCATAATTACAACCGTACCTTCTCCTGGATTCGAACCCGGGCCCTTTAGTATCGCAGTCAGCTCCACTAACCACTATACTGTCTGGGCGCCATAGGGCGAAATTAGAGTCAATAAAATGCGTTCTTGTGTTTTCAGCTGTGGTGTTATTGGAAGTTATTCTTTCATGATGGGGTACCCAAACGTTTTTAAAATTCAGAAAAATGTGAAGGCATTCCTTATTCTATTGTTGATGCCACTGTAAGTTTTGATGCCAGAATGGCTGCATTATCTTTTTAATATTTGTATTTTTCTTCTTACAGAATTTCTCCATATGAAACTTGTTGTTCAAAGAGGAAGCTGGCTGCAGAACTCAACGGCCTCGGACTTGCTGAAAAAGCAATTTGCCAGGAACTCATACACCCTGGGAAAAATGCATAATCCTGACTACGGAGTGTTCAGAGATCGTGCGAGCTTCGCTGTTTGGATTTGTTTTCCATTGTGTTGTGTTTATGTTATTAGTAGTTTGAGATGGTAACTACTGATTGCACTGTGCCATACTGAGAAGAGCTGTATGAGTATTTTTGTGGAAAGCTCTAGATCTGTAAAGTATTTCTTTTGTGAAAATAAATTTTACCAATCTTTCATTGTTTCTGTGTGAAGTCAATCTGTTAGGAACACGTATGCAGGCAGCAACAATATTTAATTAATTATATTTCAGATGATCAAATGATTCCAGTTCAGTTTCAATGTTAAACCATGAAACATGAAAAAGTTAAAAATTCATGTTTGCAACGTAGGAAAAGTGATAAAATACCTAAAAATCAACTTTTACGAGTGATCCTGTTAAAAACAATTAAGCGTACATTTCGTTTGACTTTGAATTTAACCTTGAATGACCTTCAATTTGACCGATTTGACCTTCAAATGACTTTCAATAACCTTCAAAAGGAAATTTTTTGCTAGAAACCACCAAGATTAAATTCCACTATGTGCGTTATTTCACCTATATGACCTTGAATGACCTTATATTCGATTTATTTAACCTTCAAATGACTTTCAAAAGTTTTAAAAGTACCGAAACGTGCTCAGTGACCTTGAAAAGCTATTCTTGAGGGTGAATTTCGTTCACCTGAGTTTAGTTTGAGCTACTTAACCTTGAATGACCTTCAAGTTGACCGATTCGACCTTCAAATGACTTTCAAAAGTTCTTCAACATAGAATCTGATGGTAAATGACCTTGAAAATCCGTTATTCAACCTTCAAAATGATTTTCTGCTAAAAATCACTAAGCTTCAATTTCATTAAGGGTGTCAGTTGAGTTATTTAACCTTGAATGACCTTGTATTCGCTTTATTTAACCTTGAAATGACTTTGAAAATTTTCAAAAGTCAAGACGTGAGGATGAGTGACCTTGGATATCATTTTAAAAGAGCTTTTCTATTAGAAAACTAAATTTCATTAATTTAATTCATGTTATTTAAACTATTTCACATTCGAGTTATTTGACCCTGATATGACTTTCAAAAGTTTCAAATGCGAGCCTTATGATTTCCGAAGCCCACCAGCGACTGGTTAAACACCGGTAGTTCGGTCTGGGGTTCGAGTCCCGGCTGCATGGTTTTTCCCATATGTAACATGAATACGAGCTAGTTTACCTTAAAAGACCATGAGGCATCCCACTCTTTCCGTGTACTGTCTTCCGTGAGATTTTCTACAAGTGATAGCTCATGTATAAAGTCATACCACTCATAGAGTTGTGTCAGTTCTGTACCACTCCTAGAGTTAGTAAATAGTATGAGTGATAATGTTTGAAAAGGGAATTAAATAGTTTAAATGTCTTTTGTAGCCTAACAATTGGCAAAAGGTAAGCTGCTGAACAAGGCCCGGTAGCACAGTGGCTAGCGCGTCGCGCAGCAGCACCACAGGTCCGGAGTTCGATCCCCAGGCTGGACAAGGTTGACTCAGCCTTTCAACTTGAGGGAATCATCCCTTGAGTGGGTCAATAAAATGAATACGAAGTTCGCCTGGATACTAGTAGTTCTGCTGAACTCCAGTAGTTCAAAGCAGTATTTCTTCGTAAGTGGATGATCGTGAGCGATTTACGAAAATCTTCTTTCCCTCAGTCTAATCCCTTCTCCTTATCTGAAGGTGAATTATGTAATTTCTAAATCAAATTTCCTGTAGTTGTAGGGAAGTGTGGGTGCGTGCGTGCGTCTCTTTTAAATAATCATGCCAGATGAACAGGAAGAAATTTTCAGTTTATTGAAGCTTATAATACACAGTAAATATACACAGTAAATTAATAGCTGTAAATAGCTCCTCGGATACTAAGCGATTTCTGCTGAGCACACAAAAAGTAAATTCGAAAACGCAATTAAAGTAAACTAAATTAAAGTAACGAAAAGTAAATTCTAAAAGTCTCTGAACTGCAACTCTCAGAGCTGATTAATAACAACCATTATACATAAGGTGTAGCACAGGTTAACAATTTAATGGCTGTCGGATTCAGAATTAAAAGATCTATCATTCTAAACAATAAATAAATATTTATATACATAACATGAGACCACAAATGGATTTCCACACAAAATGAAACAACAAATATAAGTAATTAACGTGTTTTAGACCAAAAAATATACAATATTATAGCAATAAACAAAAACAACAAATTTAAATATTTAGAGGAATTTTGTTGCCACCATTATGAAACGTTTTCATACAAGCTGCTAGCGTTCTGTAGAAGTTCTGTATCGAACTTTACTCGTAATCCTCTATAGAATGATTCAC